AAGTAAAATATTGCTTTCATTAAAATATTGTAAGTTCAGTAGAATTTGTGCCTCTGCTGGTAAATTTTCATAACACTTTTGCAAGCATGACTCAAATGCAAAATGTATTCATAGTCAGGGAAGAATGAGTAACTTGCACCGAGTTACCTTGATCTCCCTCACATGTCAGTTATTCAGTTCCATACCCTTGCATGACAATTGCTCTTAAATGCTCTATTTAACATTTGGTTGCAGATTTGTTTTTAAATAACTGTTGCCTCAAAGAAGGCAATAAGTGCAGACATACAGACCAAGCCTTTTTAAAAATCCCTTTAAATACATGACCCAATTTTTCAAAAATGAAACTGATGGGTGCTTTGAAAAACTGGCCCACTTACTTAGGAACCTCAATAAGGAATTAGGGCTCTGATCCTGTTCCCATTGAGACCAACGGCAATGGTATCCTTGAGTTCAGTGATGCAAGATAATGCCTTATGTGCCTAACTTAAGCACCGATTCTTTAAAGGCTCATCTCTAATATTTTACTAAATACTTTGTCCTTCTATAGCACATTCTTCCAAAGTTTCACAGACAAGTTCATCATCACATGCCCTTCTTAGCTAAGAATTACCCCCATTTTACAGATAGGGAAACTGAGGCAGAGAGAAATTAAGCAATTTGCATAAAGGAAGTCTGTGGCAAAATAATAATAATAATAATAATATTCACGTCTTATAAAGAGAAACCAGTATTTTAATCAAAAGACCATCCCCCCCCACCCCTTCCTTTCAATTTCATATCAACACACAACAAACATTTGGAGGATGCACTGGAGTTTTAAGTGCTTACCAGCTACTACTAGGCTGGCCCAGATCATATGAGAAGTTTGGTTTCCTTTCATGAAATATGGGTCTGATTCTGCACTCATGCAATATTTGGAACTCAGGCAGGGCCTTATTTAAAATAAAATAGCTGTTTCCTACCCTTATGGCTTTAAAGAAATTCTTTGCACAGTCCAAGGGTTGAATGTACTTTCACTTTCCTTTATAAGAATACAACCATTATTTATTGACTTTAGCATGGTACTTTACATAGACCTATTATTCAGAGTTTTATCATTGGAAAATTCAGTTTAGCAAAATACAATATTAACTGAAGATTAGGAAGACACCTTTTTATTAACATTCCAAATCGTATATGTCTCCATTTAACTATATTTTAGAAATAAAACTTAAAAACCTGAACATGACCACTAACAGATTCAGCATATAAAAATATTTTAATTGTACTACAGGAAAACAATCAAAATGTGATTTGAAAAATACACATCTAGTTCTGGCACACATTATTCTGTGTTAAAAGGAGGGGAAAAAAGACGTCAGAGGAAAATATACTACATTTTTCTTCCTTACAACAAACAATCTGCAGATTATCCCAAAGTGTATGGAAAGCAGCTGTTGAATTATATACCAAATCCTCAGTAGAAGTTTATCATTAAGAAGTGTCTTAGCAGCGTGAGAACCAGATAAGTTATAAAAAAAAGAGGAGTACTTGTGGCACCTCAGAGACTAACGAATTTATTTGGGCATAAGCTTTCGTGGGCTAAAACCCACTTCATCAGATGCATGCAGTGGAAAATACAGTAGGAAGATATATATACACACATAGAACATGAAAAAATGGATGTTGCCATACCAACTATAATGAGACTAATTAATTGAGCCCTTTCCCAGTCATGAGAGCTAGGTGCAAGATATTAAAGTGATCTAGAAAACACACACACACACATTTGTTAAAGAGGAATTTTGAACCATCCAATAGGTCCATAAAAAAGGAACCATTCAGCAGGAAAATGAAATGAAGGTGTTTTGGCAGCTATAAACAAACTTAATTAAAGGTGTATTCCAACATTTACAACACTGGATTCTAGGTTATTTCCAAAAGTTCTCACTGACTTCCTAAGAACATGGAAGATTAATCAGTATGCTGTGAAAATGGTTATGTTGAAAGAATAGTGGGTGTGTTTACTAATTACCACCCCAGATGCTTGCAGTGATACAGTCTCAACTACAAAAGGAACCTGGTACTGTGATCAATAGATATACCATTCCAGAGGACAGCTCTAGTAACATTTGGTGTTACATTATGTGATGAAACTCAAAAAGATTTTCAAAATATTAAATGAAGAGAGGTTCCAAGTAGTCAATTTAAAATATCAATATTTTCAGATTATGCTATTCATGCCAATAAATGCAAAGAAAGTATCATTTACATTTTAGTTACAAAATCATGATTGTGTTTTAAAATTAATAGTTTGCAACTAGACCAGACTTTTGCTACTCCAGCTGTGACTGGAAACTGATTAGTATTACAGAAATTTACTACGTAGGTACTATTCTGTGTATCTATTACTATTATTATTTTATAGACACTGAAAATACCTTTTTCTATGTCAACCTTTAAACTTAACTTTACAATTTTTATAGGTCATAATATGGGGAAACTGCCGAAAGTATAGTTCCGGTCCTGATTTTTAAGTTTTCACTGGAGTCGTCATAAAGAACTGCAAACTCAAGTCCTTACACCAGACAAGTGTCCATGGACCTCTAGGGACCTGCTTTCTCCAGCCAACAACAAAAAACACCCCATAGACTGTTAGGATTTCAGAAATACAGGGAATTACACATACAATTAAATGTTTCCGTTGGACCTGGCTGTAAGAGGTGAAGAGGAAGGAACATTCTTGGGGGGCAAGCGTTTTTCCTTGAAGTGTTGTTTGGCACCCTTTGATGGATTCGGTTTTGTTGTGGTTAGATCATGACAGATTTCAGGAGTAACCCTACACTTCTGTTGGCAGCCACACATTTCGCATTTGCTCTTCCCTCTTTATTTTTTTAAGGTCGCTCTTGCCAGATAGCAACCGCCTCCCAACTTCAAGAAAGCCAAAAGAATGGCGTCTTTTTTTTTTTTTAAACGGGGCTTGTTAAATCTGCAGCATCAAAAGTGCGTCTAAAGCATCAAAGGCAAATAAATAAATAAATGGGGATCTGAGGACAGGGAAAGGGAAGAGAGAAGAGATCCCAACCCACGCCGAAAGGAAGAGTCACAACCTGATCAGAGAAAGCAGCTCGTCTTGGGGGGCGCTAACCAAGGGGCTACTCCTGCTTTGCAACTTTTTACAAACAGGGCGGCGGTGAAAAGCAGATCCATTGCCTAGCGAAGGGCAGGCGCGGAGGGCTGGTATCCCCAAGGGGCGCCGCAGGAGGGGAACAGACCGAGGGCACCTTTACGAGGAAAGCTCTCTGGAGAAACAATGTTGCATGCGTCCCAGGGCATTGCTAAAAGCACATCAGGGGTTTCCGTCGAGCTCATTGTGTGGCCGGAGGAACCCAGGCCAAGAAACCTCCCCACCCCCGGGGCTCTCCTGAGAAAGGGAGTGGGGAGGAAGAGAAACAAGACATGCAAACTACACGCGTGTCAAACGGGGGAGGGGGATTGCAGGGGACCCGGGAGCCAACTCAGCAGCGTATCCAGTCGTGCACACCAGAGTCCCTAGAGCGCGCGCACAATCAGAAAGGGAATGAGACCCCCCCCCTCGGCCCCCTCCTCCTCCTCTCTGGCCTCTGGCGAGAGGGTGGGGGTGCAAACAGGCTAGAAAGTAACAAAGTGGCCCAAGTCGGGGAGCAGGGGCGAGACAGAGGAAAGGGCTCCTTACCTGAAGACACACTCCTCCCTGGAGTCCCGGGCAGGGGAAATCAGCCCGTGCTTCTTGTTGAAGAGCTTCTGAAACAAGGTGGGCGGCATTTTGGGGGTGCGCGGCTCCCCTCCCTCGGCCTCCTTCTCTCTCCCTCCAGCCAGCGGCGGCGCTGGGGCTGGAGCAGCAAACTCCTCTGGCAGGCAGCTAGTTCCGCGAACCCGACTCCATTTGGTGTCACAGTCATATGACAAAAATTAGTCACTTGGAGCTGCCAGAGGAGGAGGATCGCAGGGAGGCGGGCCCGGGAGGGGTTTCTCCGGGGCCGTGCACAGCTGAGTGGCTGAGGCCCCAGCACCACGTGCTCCGGCCGCCCAGCTGGGGTTTGGGAGGGCAGGGGGGAAAGCTGGACCGATCTCTTAGCGTTTGGCCCCAGCTCCCGCTGGCTAGTAACGGGGAATAAATCTAACCCCTCCCAGGGCCCCGGATATAACGCCGGGGCCGCCCGCATCCCACGGCAACCGCGTTGCAAAAACCTCCAGCCCGCACCTAGCTCCTGTTGGAGCCAGCCAGGATCGCCCTGATTCACCCACATAAATACAGAACGAGCGTGTAGACATCCCTCTCCCAGCAAAGCCCCCTAGGCCCTGGTGCGTCTCGCCGCAAGGGTGCTTCAAACGGCCAGGACAGGCAGCCGGGTCCGAATTTTTGCTCCTCCTCCTCCAAAAAAGAAAGCCCCTGCCCCACCAGAGAATAGGCTCCAGCTGCAACCGAGCCCCATATGCCCCACGTGGGCTCTAGCCCCTCAATTGCCCGCCCAATTGTATCAGCATCTTAGGAAACCTTCCCGTTTTCCGGTAGGACCTGGAGAAACTGCATCTGTACTGCGTGTATTGGTAAAACGCGGGAGGCGGGGCTGCAGCCATACATCCGCCAAATCCAGCAGGATGCAGGTGCGACAGAGTCTTCGCCGCTTTCTTCTACCGGGATTTCCTGGAGGACAAAATTTCTTCCTCCACTACTAGAAGTACCACTTGGTACAATTCCTGGGTACTCAGATGCAACAAGAGTGGCTAAACAGGATTTCTGTTTAGGCAGTGGAATGTGTGGAAGGCCAGAACCTGGCGGGATCCAGATGCCAAATTGACACAGTTCCAGCATTGCTGGACGCTGCTGTTTTTGGTGTAAGAAGAGCATATACACCTGTTCTCTCTTTATGTGGTAGAGTTAGGATGATTGGGGCCAGAAATTGGCCAGGTTTAGAACAGTAACTAAGCTTGTTCTTTATTTAGGCCAGGGGAATTGTGGAGCTGGGTACAAAAAACAGGAGGCTCCAGGTTGATCCAGCTTTTTACCTTTTCGTCCTTTGTTCGTAGAGAGTTGCCATTTGGAGATTTAAGAAATTCTCCCACCGTGCAGGGAGCTGAATGAAAGCAAAAGTGATGTGGGCGGTTCAGACTATGCAATACCAGAGGAAGGAAGGTAGGTGAAGGAGATTTGCATGAAGAGGAAGCTTCACCTTATAAACAAACATCACAAAATACTACCAACTAGTATTAAAGTGGTAACAACAAATTAATGTATCAGGAAGGAAACAGACAAGGTGGAGGAGGTAACAACTTTTTTTGGACCAACTTTTGTTGGTGAAATTGAAAACAAGTTGGTCCAAGAAGCGAGATTATTTCATTTATCTTGTCTCTCTAATATTCTGCGACCAACACAGCTATAACAACACTGCAAGCAGGAAGAAAATACAGTTAGAGCAAGTACCCCTGTTTAGCCTAAAAACTAGGTTTTACAAAAATCAAGAGGAGCTAGAGGTTTCTGCACAATCTCTTAGTAAATACCTCATGAAAACATCTTTAAATAATGTAGGACAACAACAATTTAAATAAAGGACAATAATTTTTGGGTAGATCTTAGGATTCCTCATCACTGTCTACAGTACAAACATGGCAGCATTGTACAAAGGCAGAACTAGAAAATAAAGTTAACTAAAAACTAACTAAAGTGAAACTCACTAACCTCATTTCATTCTCCAAAGCCAGTGAAGTAAAACAACATGATGTAAGATTATTAAGGAAGTGTGTTTTTCTGAATTAATCTAAGCGATTTCTTTGAGTGTTACTAAAAGAAATTGCTTAAGTTAATTCTGATGAGTTTTTTAATTGTATTTTATTATTGTGACAAGGCCTTCATTACCCTTCAATATGTGCTTTTATAACCTCTTAAAGATTAAGGCAAGGAGACATAGCTCAGTGGTTTGCGCATTGGCCTGCTAAACCCAGGCTTGTGAGCTCAATCCTTGAGGGGGCCATTTAGGGATCTGGGCAAATATTGGGTATTGGTCCTGTTTTGAGCAGGGGGTTAGACTAAATGATGGTCCCTTCCAATCCTGCTATTCTATGATTCTACTGCAGTGAAAAGCCATGAGAGAAATGGTGGTTTCTTTTTCCTAGTTTGTGTATAGTCAATAGGTCCTCCTGCTGGACTTGGATCTTTGCAGACCGCACCTTGCCCCACATAGCCCTTCTGAAGTTAATAGGGCTGTATATGTGAGAAGAGAGGTTCTCTGCCCAAAAACTTAAGATGAGGAGCCTTAGTAATTTTACTCTGCTGATACTCACACCTTCTTGTGAACTGTTGGAAAAGGGCCACCTTGATTGCATTGGCCTCGTTAGTACTACAAGAGTGATTTTTCCTCCCTTGGTAGTCACCCCTTCTTGTTAACTGTTGAGAATAGGCCACTTCCACCATAATTGAATTGGCTCATTAGCACTGACCCCCCCCCCCCCCCCCACTTGGTAAATCAGCTCTCATTTTTTCACATGCTATAATATATATTCTGCTTACTGTTTTTTTCACATCCGATGAAGTGGGTTTTAGCCCATGAAAGCTTATGCCCAAATAAATTTGTTAGTCTCTAAGGTGCCACAAGGACTCCTCGTTGTTTTTGCTGATACAGACTAACACGGCTGCCCCTCTGAAACCTGTGAAATGACAAAAATTCAGTTGCAGATGCTCTAAAGTTTATTGCATGTATCAGTAAGTCACAAAGGCTGCATAATCCTGTTATACCAAATACACACCCATACACATATATGACTGGTAATTAATTATACATATACATACATATACACAGGAAGCATTAAGTATTTTTTCCTCTTAAATTGGAAGCACTTGAAATCAAAAGCATCCAACTGTAATTTACTTTTAAACTTAATAAAATAGTCTTGCTTGCAAATTGTATTTAAAATATAATTACTAAGTCAAATCTCTCTACTAAACATGTACCTATATGACATATTTCAGTGATTAAAATAATTAGCCTATATAAGAACTACACTAGAATTAGGATTCATCTGAAATGACAGTTAAAATCCTTCAAAAAGATATTTTGGCCTCAAGTTCTCAGGGAGAAGTCCCCTTGACTTCAGTGAACAAGGACTGTTCCTACGAAAGCTGCCTGCACAATTGGGCCCTTAAGCATTATACATGCGACTGACTGTGACCTGTAACCTTTTCCCACTAATACTAAGGAGCCATTTTTCATTTCCAGTGAAATTTTATGCAGTCATTTTTCTGCCTAGACTCAAAACATGAAAAAATACCGAATTGATTTAAAAACAGAACAAGACTGGGTGCTGTTGTGGTCTCAACAGGAATAGAATTTCCTTCCTGGGGCAAAAGAGTAGCTAGACAAGTAATTATACTAAATAAAACAGTAGCATGTGTCAGGGTCAGAGATGAAAATGATTTAAAAAGTGCAGCTGTGTGGAGGACAAGAAGATGTTAGTGCCCAATCCTACAAACATCTAGACATGTGAGTAATTTTACTCATATGCATAAGAATTCAGGCACTTTGTAATTCTCTCAAGTTTTAGGCTATGATATTTCTAGACTTAGTCATCCCACCACTTTGTCTCACTTATTTCCTTCACTTTTAATGTGATTGACATAGAGGTGATCGTATGACACGAAAGTTAAATTTAAGGTGATACAGGTATTAACAAAAGAAAGAAACTTATAACAGGTCAGATACACAGCATGAAAAAAAAAGTTGACAATCAACAATCAGGGACCTAGTCAGCCTCTAACCGAACCTTCCAGGTGCTCTAAAGTTTAAGAGCTTATATCATCTGGCAATAATGGTATTAGGAACAATTTCTTGTTACAGTGATTTACCAAATACACACAGATTGGGTTACCAAATATGAATGCACTCTGTAATACTGCAAATAATGGACAAAGATTTTCAGTGTGATGCCATAACCTTTATAATGCAGGCTTGGGGCCTCGTTATACATCCTTTTAAGTCAATGAGAGTAGGTTCAGGCCCTAAACTTTACTGATTAAAGTTGGATGTAGGTAAAAAAGTTGTGCTTGGTTTTGAGAATCAAGGAATTCTGATTTCCAAGAAACTCACAAGGGATATAAACTAAGAGGTTTAGAAAAAATCACACAATGTTGTTTAACTTATTAAAAGCAGGATATGTATGTGTACAGACAGATTCTAATCTGAAGGGACAGCCAGTGGTTGTCACCGATATCAGAAAAATCTGTGGGTATCCAAGTCTACCTTTATAATAATAAAAGAAAGGTGCATGGGGAAAATACTATTCTAAAAGCCTCTTACCATGGTATTTGAAGCAATCAGCATCTTTAGTAATCTATGGACTGAATCAATGGGACTGATAATCTAACCTGCAAATCAGGTGCATGCTCACCTTTGCACAGCCCAGGAGGAGGTGGGAAACAAGGAACCTTCTTCTGAAGCCATCAGGAAACACTTTTAGACCCCTCTCTTTCCCCTACACACAGGGCACATCAAATAATCTTGATGGGGCCAGCCTCTGCTGAAAAGTTGGTGGATGCCCCAAAAGGGGAACATCCACATAGCCTAATGGCTTAGAACTGCTCTACATACCCCACTCCCTGAGCCCAGTTAAGTCCAAGGCACAAAAGAATCAATTTTGTAACTTAAAATAAGGACTTTTGTCAAGAACAAATCTAAGCCTTTACTATAGCTTATGCAATATAAAGTTTAAATTAACACAGAGGGGCTGCATGGTGTAGATTCCTGGATGAAATTAGAAGCATGTCATTCAGAGTTATGTCACTGTTTGTGTCAACAGTGGAGAACCATTCCAGGAGGCAGCAGAGGGGAAATCTCATAAAACAGTGACCTTGTTGGGTTTTGTGTTTTGGAAAGTATCAGGGAGGCTGGGCAGCCTTTAGAGTGTTAGTAGAGAAAAAACCCTCTATTTTGTTTCTAAAACCTACCTTTTAGAAAGTTCTGCTGGGAACATAAAAATTGATTCCGGACAGAATGTGGTCAAGAAAATTAATCCCAGAGCAAATTTTTACAGTATTATAAAAGAAACTGAGCAGCACTCACTGCAACAATGAGTTATTGAATATGTGAATGCTTTACATTAGAGGTTTTTAAACTCCTCATTGTATGTACTAAAGAATGCAATTGAGCTAATTATCTCATTAAATAGGACTGAAGTGAATGCACAATGGGTTAAATGCACCATACCTGTGTTTAAATGCATAAGGCTAAAAAGCAATCCTCGGTTGATGGATTCATAAGGGGATGCTAGTAATATTAAGAATCAGTCTAATGTTAAAGAATTAGGCCATATAGGACAGCTGGCTAGCGTAGCAAAAAAGGTAGCTGTAATATTTGTTTAAGGAAATTAAAATGAATTCTGCTAAGTTGTGTAGCTGCTTTGTGGTATAGAAGAGTGGTGATAGGAAGACCACCAAATTAGTGTACTTATGACATACTTATGTAGACTGAGACTTCCATTCCTTTTCTTTCTGGTTATTCTTTCCAGGTTTGTAAGTTTGGCTTTGGTTCTTTAAGACTTTGGCTGTGGTTCTTTAAGAAACCTAGGATGTGCTCCTGTAGGCTAGGAATTTCTAAAGGAGTCTAAGGTAGCCAGTACTCAAATCAGATTGAAAGTCAATGGAATGTGGGTACCTAATTACCTTTGACTCCTTCCGAATTAATCACCTTACTTTTGTTTTAGACAAATACCACTCCCTCCCTGTCAAAACTGAGCAATAGTATCTGGAAACCTATTGCAGAATTAGAAAATGTCTTAGATCAAAGGTAAAACAACTAGGCCCCCCATCTTGCAAACATGTACATTTTATGCATGTATTAAAATGAAAGCATGTGAGTAGTTTCACAAAAGTCAGAGTATGGTATTAATAACCCTGCCTGGTCAATATGATTACTCGTGTGCTGAATTTTATGTACATGCATACTGCTTGCAGGATTGGAGCGCTAAAGCTTCAACTTGCAAACTCTTACGTGAGTAGCCTTTAGTCCTATTGATAGACTTCAGTGGGATTACTTGCATGAGTAGGGGTTTCCATTGTCAGGCTCTAATATGGGATTTCATCTAGACCTTCAGTAGATATTTTTCCATATGGCAAGAACACCACGATAAACTAATTAGTCTCTGTTCAGAATGACCATATCAGATGCTGTAGAACAGGACTGAGGTACATATGCAAGCTGTCTACTTGGATCACATCAACACTAAGTTTCTCACTTTCATGATTATTCTTAACTAAAAAAATAATCAGGACTTCAGCACTACTTTTAAAGTTTTCATAATTTTCTTTATAAATATTAGCAAGTTGGCATATCAATCCAAATGTTTCTATTTAATACAATTTAATCACCCATCCCTCCATGCATATTCTTTCAATTAATTGAATATAGATTAATCGAATATATGGTGCACCTACAGAACACTGCACGAGTTGAAATATCACTTATTTGTACAATTTTTTTTAAACAAATCATTAAGAACTTCCTGCAAGGCATGTGTGAACACGCTATTTCAAATGCCTCAACAACTGACATCTGTAGATAATGGACTACACTATACAATGCAGGTTACACTTCTGTGAGCCTCCTCTTCTATATTGTGATCATATACTTCTGCCCCTTACAGTGGGACCTTTAACTCTTTCATTTGACTCCTGAAGAAAACCAAAGAGCTCATCCATGGTCACTGTAGACCCAGTTTTTGGTACTTGTAATAACATCTGAAAAATAATGTAAGGGTAAAAATTTATCATACATGTAAAAACTCTCTCTCTAGAATATATCAGTCTAAAATTCTTTAGTTAGTCTGTGGCATAACTGGTATGTATAGTCAGCCCTCTGCTGAGTGGTAGCAGGTACCAGGGCCTTACAGGTCAGCTTCCTGTTAGAGGAGAAATCAGCAATGCAAAGTTTGGGTATATTCTTAATACAACTTGTTTATTTTACATTATATACCCCAGCCCTTGACAGAGGTGGTCACAGCATGCCAGCAATCCCTCGCTTAAAAATCTCAGCCAAAACAGATTCCCAGGAAGCAACTGTTTCAAGAGCTGACTAGTTAGAAAGATTAAGGAACAGAGCAAACTCGCTTTTACTTCTTGCCACGGCTCCTCTAAAAAGAAATGTCAAAAAGTATTTCTTCAGAGAAAGAACAGTACTCTCACTAATGAGACCTTGTAAGACTATGTGCAACTGCGCCATCTGGTGACCCTCAGGATAACACTATTTAAAATTTGTGCAGCTATTTGTTCTGCAGACATTTTCCCCCTAAAAGTTACAGATAAGGAGTACTGTCCTGATCCTGCTCTTATTAGTAAGTGGCTATTGTCTACATACAATAAAGTATTTCTCAGGGATTGCCAGTATATGCAGAAATGTATGTGCGTGACAATTCCATGGAAATGAATTTCAGGATATGGTTCTAGGAATTCTTTAGGTGTACCCATGTTTCTGATAGCTTAACAAGACAAATGCCTGAAAAGACATGCTTACAGCGAGCTAACAGTATTTTGAGTTTAATACCTTAAGTTTGCCTTTTACATACTTACCAGAGGACTGAACTTGGAACCATTCTGCACACAGAATACCCCAAATGAATTGACACCTACTCTACAGAACTATGATCAGATCCTCCACAAGTGAAATTTAAAGGGGGTGAAGGAGGATCACAGAAATAGATGAAGTGGAATAGACCATATACAGAGGGGAAAATATATGCAGAAAGAGGAACAAAAACAAATGGGATTTAAACATTTTTGTACAGCTATTAGAAATTTGACAGATTAAATACCAGTAGCATAAGTTTTTAGTAAATTAGTTTCACTTAATGCATTAAATGTAACAATTACGTAAAGTTAAATATCAGTCTCAAACTTTTAAGTTAATAGGAGCTCTTAAGTGCTCAGTACTTTTGAGAACCTAAGTTTAAACATTCAGTTCTCCAAGTCTTATGTACAGCACAGTACTTTCTCAAAAAGAGGAGTTTTCCAATGCAGTGTTTATAATTTGAAACATTTCAATAGAGGAGTTCTATAACATGTCAGAGCTACAATATGAAAAAACTGGATAATCCGTTCAAAATAATCCGGAAAGTAGGGTATTATGGGAAATGTACGTACGAGGCTCAATTCTACAAGCTACTGAACACACTGACCCCAATCCAGGAAAACTTAGGCACATGCTTAATTTTAAACAAGCATATTTCCATTGAAATCAGTGCAATTAGTCACACGTGGTTAATTTTAAGCATATGCTTAATGCCTTAACTTAAATGGGAATATTCTTATGCTTGATGGTAAGCATGTCTTTGCTGGGCTAGGGCCAGAGTTCTCAGTCCATTGCAGGATCAAGCCCACTGTAAGGTAGCCAAGAACCTCTAATTTCTACCACCTCCCCCCACGAAGGTTAAATGAGTTTATAATGGACGGTGGATAATTTAAAAAGATTTCATGAGTCTACTTGTGACCTGATCGGAATTTGATTTCCGATTTCAAGGTAAAGGCTACATGCAAACCCAGCCTACCATCTTGCTAACGCTTCTGCTATGAGAAAGAACTCAAAAAACTAGAACAGCAAAGAAGCTCTGAATTCCCCTTCTGCTCATGAATAAGCATTTTGTAATACTTTATAAATACGTGTACATCTTGATTTAGAATTGGATCACATTATGTTTTACAAGTGTCCCATTATTCCTGAACCAATGTTTATTTTAGTTACTTACTACCAGTTATTTTGGAATAGGTTCTGCATTTTTCTAATGCCATTGTGCACAAGATGAAAAGAGAACACTCCCTTGTCACTGTACTCCTATATCTATACAGAGGAAAGGAGTACTTGTGGCACCTTAGAGACTAACCAATTTATTTGAGCATGAGCTTTCACGAAAGCTCATGCTCAAATAAATTGGTTAGTCTCTAAGGTGCCACAAGTCCTCCTTTTCTTTTTGCGAATACAGACTAACACGGCTGTTAGTCTGAAACCTGTCATTATACAGAGGAGTAGCTATTGATAATTTTGACACATTTTGAAAAGCACTTAACCTATATTCTAGATGATATATGTATTCTTTTAATATGGTAAAATGTAAACAATATCTTTTGCATTAAAAACGCCCATGAGCCATTTTGTGCTAGTGTCTCGTCTCTGGGTTGAAGCTAAATAATGCCATAGTCTAAATGGCCAACTAGCTGTAAATAGTTTCTGAAAAAGTTCTTGAAAGAAATAACATTCTTAAAACTAGAAGAATGTCTTAAACTTAACTACTAAGTAGAGACATGCCATCCAGAGGCATGCTAAGAAATCTGCAAATGAAAAGTTTACAGTATTAGTGAGACCAATACTGGAATACTACATCCAGTTCTGGTGTTCATGTTTTAAACAGGATGTTGGAAAAATAGGGAAGGGAGCCACAAAAATTGTTTGTGGGCTGGAGAAAATGCCATAGAGGGGGAAACCATTCATCCTATCGGAAAGGATACCGAGAGGTGACTTGATTACAGTGTCTAGGTACCTTCATGGTGAGAAAATACCAGTTACTTAAGAGCACTAATCTAGCAGGGAAAAGGCAAAACAAGAACCCGTGGCTGAAAGCTGAAGCCAGACAAATTCAAAGGAGAAATAAGGCACAAATATTTAACAGGGAGGGCAATTAACCATTGGAACAAACTATCAAGAGAAGTGGTGGATGCGCCATCTTGTAAAAGTCTTCAAATAAAGACTGGATGCCTTTCTGGAAGATCTGATTTATTCAAACAAGTTATAGGGCTCAACGAGATAACAACTGGGATGGAAGAGGAAGATGCAACAAAATGGGCAATGTTTAGCAGAAAACTAAAAGCCTCAGCTGGCCACTAGCCTAACCAATTCCAGGGTATGATTTGTCAGCATCATGGCAAAGGTGGGTTTTAAGGAAGGATTTAGAAAAGATATGGTGGCAGCTTCATAAATATTGACACGGAGTTTTATTCCCAACCATAGGGCAGCATGGGCCTAAAGTACAGAGGTACCTGAAGCATCAGAAAAGTGGGTAAGTGAGGCTGTTATCATTGGCAAAGCAAAGGTGTGGTAGAGGATCAATGCCTTGATAAGTTGTGTAGGTCCAATTTTAATACCTCCTTCCTGTCCTTTTGGGGGTGACCAAAAGGACCCATGTAATCTCTGTGGACAAGCAAATGCAGAAACTGCAACTATCTGTGGCCCTCGCATGGAGGATAGGCTCCAGTTAGAGTTTCGGGAAATTTCTTGAACACGCTCCCTATAATGCACAGTGATTTCACTACACAGGTGTGAAAGGTGTTTCATTTGGGAAGCTCAATAAAATGACAGCTTTCCTCTTCGAATCTTACGGAGAACATCTATGCTTCTCTGTTGCACCACTTTATTATAATTTTTCCATCTCTCAGATGCAGGGGTGTGTGTTTTAAAGAAACTACAACTCCCATGCTCAAGCAAGTATTTCTATCATTTGCATATGAAAATTTTCTATATTCTGTTACCTTCAGGTATTCCTTCAGGGGGATGCAATGTGTTTCTGTTTACTGGAGTTCGGTGAACCATGGAGACCCTAAGCCCTGGTGACGTTTTAATAATAGAGCAGATTTCTTTGTTTTTTGTATTTGATTTCTTGTTTTGTGTTTCTTTGTTATGCAGAGACTGAAAAGAAGAGTGAAGCAACTCCAGTTATATAACAGCTATTGGCATGTAAGTGATCTTCTCACACACCTTCTTTAAGGGAAGGTCTTGATATCAGAAGGAGTTTGTACAAAGAGGGAGGAATAGAGCCATTAGAGATCACAGATATCAAGGATATTACTACAGAATATTAAACTAAGATTACTCTTGTACATTTAATTAAATACTATAGCAACAGTTCTCAAAATATTCAAGACACTTTTAAAGTCAAGCATTTCAATATTTTTATCATTAAGTTCTAGTCAACTGTGTATATTATAATAATACTCTTAATGCATTCTATCATGAAACTATTAGGCTAGGGCTAAAAAATATATATATATATCTCAAGATTACAACCTGATAAATTTTTTCTTCTGAACTCAAAGATGAAGGAACAATTTCTTCTGAGTTTACATATGGACCCGTTGAATTTAGGAATAAGTCTTCACCAAAAGAGGCCTTGTGCACTGGTGACAAGTTAAACTACACCTCAACCAAAATATAAGCAATATCAGTAATATGTACTTAAAATTCAGCTGATTTACTGGTAAGGTAATAAACAAAACTAAATTCAAATTGGCTAGCTCCTAAATGAGAGATGGCCTGTATTGAGAGAACTCCCAAATCACTGAAGAGTCACCTTGGGTAAATCATTTAGGATATGTCTTACACTGCAGCTGGAAGGGAGTCTCCCAGCCCGGGTAGACAGACTTGCAATAGAGGGGCTCATGGTAGTGCACTGAAAACAACAGTGTGGATGTTGCGGCATTGAAAGAAGCTCAGGCTAGCCTTCTGGGCTCAAACCCACCCAATCCCCTGGGTCTGAGCGCAGGTGTCTAGCCCAAGCCTCAGCCAGCGCCACAACATCCTCGATGCTATTTTTAGCATGCTTGCGCAAGCACAGTCTGTATCGGGGCTGGGTCTCCCTCCCAGCTGCAGTGTGGAAATCTTTATGCTCTGATTTAGTATCTGCACGTATAAAATGGGAATAATGTTAATATGTCTCACGTGGTTTGTTAGGGTTAATAAATTTGAGTATCCAAAGCAGGTTCAACAGAAAAAGCTTGATGTATTATAATCAACACACAATACTGGAGAGAGCCAGTACATCTTCCTTCTGAATAATTTGGTTCCATATTATGGAGTCTTCCTATTGAAGGAGCATCTCTCTCTAAAACTGTGCAGTTTGTTTTGTCTGAATTCATCTCATGTGTCCTGCACAAAGATAAAAACTAACGCAGTAATCTAAGGAATTAAAGGTTTTTAAAATACAATTTAAATATAGGTGGCATTTGTTTTTAACAAACATTTTTGAAATATGTTGGTGCAAATAAAGCTGTAAGGTGTTCATTTAACTATATAAAATCATTTTAAAAATCAAACATTCAATTTTAACAAGTAGGTATTCTAAGAAACATCCAGTTGACTGGATTTGCTGCACAATAGTTTGTAACTTAAAAATGTGTCACAAATCAGGTAATTGCATGCATAAGTGAGGCGTACAAATTGTACATCTAATTTATTCCTAAACAGTCTCAATTTATAAAAAAGATCAACTTTAACTCAACTGTTTTACCATATTAAAAAAAGATAGTACCCAGTAGTGTTTTGTATATTCATCTCACCTCTAATTCTTCTGGCTGAAAGTATGCTGTGCTTGTTAGCAATTGTCTATTTTTTTCTGCGATCAATACTTTAGAATTCATTTCCTATTTAGAAATACAAGAGAGTATGTAAACATCAAAAATACTCTTGGCAATTTCCTTCATTAGTAATTTGGGGTCTTATTCTATTCCCTTTGTACAAAATGGTATATTCTGGGATTCTATTAAAATTTTAAGAAACTGATCTAAAAGGTAAAGTTACAGTTTATCCTACATTCATGTTACTTTTGTTCTTGTATTCTTTAAATGAAGGCATGGAATCAGTTTACTGCAGCATAAAGGGATGAGAGTTTACTCCTCAAGCCCACCCTCAGATGGATAGATTAGACACTTCTTCCCTGTCTAGTGGTCTGATAGCAATTATATCTCTTCCCTGTATTCTCTAAATCATTCTGAATTAGGAAACAAGATAGAAGATACTAGTTGTCAGTGACACTAACTAGTTTTGTCTCCAAAGCAATCCACTTCATATCCCCCCACAACTTTCAGAATTAATTTAGTTTAATGTATTTGCCCTTGAGGGAATCTGATCATTTTTAAAAATCCAGACTTGTGACTTATTTTGATTTTCTGCAGCCATACGAATTCCACTTCATATGAATTCTGCCATATTAATTCTGCAGTCACTTACTGTGGAGGGTGAAAAGTCCTCTGAACATGTATTATTCAGGCTTTCAGTTTTGAGTAAGGCATAATTCAGAAAGTCTGATTTGTTTTGGAATTTAATAGTTGGAAGAGCCTAAACATACTGAAGAAAGAAGAAACATACAATACACAAAGTGATCCAAAAACCAGCATTCAGAGGCCCGAGGCTGATGTTAAGTCATTTGTAGGGTCTCCCCCACACACATACTTTGTTTTTGTGACTCAAACTCAGTATGGAGGAAAGGGGGGAAGATAACAGAAAATGTGGAAATGGTGGAAGTGCTAACGACTTTTTTGTTTCAGTTTTCACCAAAAAGCTTAGTAGTGATCAGACATCTAACAGTGAAAGCCAGCAAAAATGAGGTAGGAACAGAGGCTAAAATAGGGGGAAAGTTAAAAATGACTTAGACAAGTTAGATGTCTTTTAGTCTGCAGGGTTTGAAGACATACATCCTAGAATACTCGAGGAGCTATGCAAACTATTAGTGGTTATCTTTGAAAGCTCATGGAAGATGGGAGAGATTCCAGAGGACTGGAAGAGGGCAACCATAGTACCAATCTATAAAAAGGGAATTAAGGACAATCTGGGGAATTACAGACCAGTCAGCTCAACTTCAGTATCCAGAAAGAGAATGGAGCAAATAATCAAGCAATCAATTTCTAGACACCTAGAAGATAACATGATAAGTAACAGTCAACATGGATTTGTCAAGAACAAATCATTTCAAACTACCCTAATAGCTTTCTTTGACAGGGTAACAAGCCTTGTGCATAGGGGGTCAGTGTTAGATGTAATAGATCTTGACTTTCATAAGGCTTTTGATACGGTCTCACATGACCTCCTCATAAATATAGCCTAGATGGAGCTATTATAACGTGGGTGCATGACTGGTTGGAAAACCATTTCCAGAGAGTAGTTATCAGTGGTTCACAGTCAAGCTGGAAGGGCATATTAAGTGGGGTCCTGGAGGGATAGGTCCTGGGTCCAGTTCTGTTCAATATCTTCATAAATGATTTGGGTAATGGAATAGAGTACACTTACAAAGTTTGTGGATGATACCAAGCTGTGAGCAGTTGCAAGTGCTTTGGAGGTTAGGATTCAAAATGATCTGCACGAACTGGAGATATGGTCTGAAGTAAATAGGATGAAATTCAATAAGGACAAATGTAAAGTATTCCATTTAGGAAGGAACAATTACATATATAACAAAATAGGAAGTGTCTTCCTAGGAGGGAGTACTGCAAAGAGGGATCTGGGGGTTGTAGTGCATCACAAGCTAAATAGGAGTCTCTGTAACACTGTCAAAAAAAAGCAAACATTCTAGGAAGTATCATCAGCAAGAGTGTTGTAAAAAAGATACAAGAAATAATTCCTCTACTCTACTCTGTGCTCATAAGGCTTCAGCTGCAGTATTGTGTCCAGTTCTAGGTGCCACATTTCAGGAATGATGTGGACAAATTAGAGAGTTCGGATGAGAGCCACAAAAATGATTAAAGGTCTAGAAAAACATGACTTGTGAGGAAAGATTGAAAAAATTGGTTTTAATATGGAGAAGAGAAGACTGAGGGAGGGGGACATAACAGTTTTTAAGTACATAAAAGATTGTAACAAGGAGAAGGGTGAAAAATTGTTCTCCATAATCTGACAGGACAGGACAAGAAGCAATGGGCTTAAATTGCAGCAAGGGAGGTTTAGGTTAGACTTTAGGAAAAACTTCGTAAAAGTCAGGATAGTTAAGCACTGGAACAAATTGCCTGGAGAGGATGTGGAATCTCCATCACTGGAGATTTTAAGAACATGTTAGACAAACACCTGTCAGGAATGGTCTAATTATTCCTTAGTCCTGCCTTGAGTGCAGAGAATGGGATTAGGTGACCTACTGAGATTCCTTCCAGTCGTACACGTAAATGATTTTATGCACATTTTTTGCCTATTTCTTTTCAAAAGCCATGAAAAAGGTAGAGATCTGAGAAAGTGACCAACTATTTTTGCTGCCTCTCCTCAGGCTAAATTTTTCCAAGTTTCCCAAACTCTTTGCTGTGCTTTTTATGCTACAGATGTCTTCATGAAGCATGCAGGGTAGTGTTCATTCCCAGGGAAGTTCCCATTTCTTTTAGATTGTTTTATAGCTAAGGCTACGATTTTTCAGGGATATTTTTAGTAAAAAAGTCATTGACAGGTCACGGGCAAAAAACAAAATCATGGAAGCCGTGACCTGTCCCTGACTTTTACTAAAAACATCCCTAACAAAATGGGGAGGGAGGAGGGTCCAGCATCCTGCCCCCATCCCACAGCAGCTGGAAGCTGTAGGGACCCCATTGTCTAGTAGCTGGGAGGGGTCCCCCTGCTGCCCTGCGGGACTGGAGCTGGGGGGTCCCCCCCACTTCCCTGCAGGGGGGCCTGCTAGCGATGGAGGCTGAGGAACTGCAGCGGGCCCGCTGCCCCCAAGCAGCTCCAGTGTCTGGGAGCTGCAGGGAGCCCATGGCCACTGAGCAGCTCTGGGGTTCCTCTGCTACCACTGCTGGCAACTGGGAGCTGCGGTGGGGCCCCAGCTACTTGGGGCAGCTGGGCAGTTCAGGGGTCGCCGGCGGCTGTGGCAGCTGGCCAGTTGCAGGACGTCCCACCACTGCGCGAGGGTCCCCTGCCGCTCGCGGAGGCTGATCAGTTGCGGGGCCCCCAGAGTCACTGAGGTTGCTGGAAGTCATGGAATTCCGTGA